GCACGCCCCCAACTTAACCCCTTCCCTCCCGCGGAAGATTCGCCGTCTGGAGGGAGTTCCCGGGACGCAGTGGCTTGCCGCCCCCTGCACTGCCGCCCCCGCTCACCTCGGCCGGGGACCCGCGAGCTCCGGACGTCCGACCCGCCGCGGCTGGGCGGAGCGGGCACGGGGCTCGCTGCGGCCGCCGCCTGGAGGGCCGAGGGAGGGCCGCCGAGTCTCCTCCTCCCTCCCGGGGGGGAGGGGAGGGAGAGGAGACCGCGGGGCGGGGGCGGTGGGCCCCGGCCAGCGGCGGCCCCAGCGTGACCCGGGCCAGCCGAGTCGCTGGGGTGGGGGCACCAGGCTGACTGTGGGGCGAGGCGCGCGGGCCGGGGCGGAGGGCTCTGCTGGAGAGCGAGCGGGACCCAGCCGGAGGCCCCACCCCCGCTTGGGGCCGAGGGTGGGGGGGACGGAAGGCAGGGTCTGGGGGCCCCGCGGGGTTCGGCTTTCCCGCCTCAGGTTTCCCGAGCGCCAAGGACGCACTAGGCGCCCCGCAGCAGAAGGGGGCACCGCCTGTCCTGGGCTCAGCACGTGGGGCGCGCTGACCTAGTGTTCACTTTTGTTACCTGCATTCTTCCTAGTGCCAGCTCTGTGGCCGAGTGGCCGCGGAGCAGCGAGGCTCTGCCCTTCACCGGGCCTCAGTTTCCCCTTTGTACCACAAAAGTGTTCACCAGAGTAACCTCACGCGTGTCGAGAAGCGTGGTGGGGCCCTTGGCCCACCCGGCGGATATTTTCTCCGAAGTGCCTCGGTGCTTCCTGCCGGCGACAGGGCCGGGCCGGCGGTCCCCCCGCAATTACGGTAAAGGCGCTCTAGCGTGCGCCCCGCGGCTGTGGGGCTTCCTCCGCCCCGGGGAATAAGGTGTCTGCGGTTTGGGCGGGAGATGGGATCGGGCGCCTCTCCTCACCATATCCTGTACCTGGAAGGCCACTGCAGTGAATCTTTTTTTCTTCTCTTCTCTTCCCTTTTTTCTTTTTCTTTTTCTTTCTTTCTTTCTTTTTTTTTTTTTAAGTAGGCTCTACACCCACTGTGGGGCTTGAACTCAGGACCCTGGGATTAAGAGTCACACGGTCCACCGCCTGAGACAGGGAGGCGCCCCTGCGGTGAATCTAAAAAGATAACGGAAACATCATAGAGTTAGTGAGGGGATCAAGACCGCATTGGGACTTTGCCTTGAAAAGGAAACTAAAAGTGCTGAAGAAAAATTAGCTTTAGTTCATGATTAACGCTTAGATTGTGATTGCAACCAGGCAGACGTTAGAATGAAGAATCGGCTCTTTACAGAAAGAGGGTCATTTTTGCAAATAAATTGGAGAGGGTCACAGGCAAGTGTCACTCTGAATCCTTTGTTAGTTAAGCAGTTCTCTCTGGAAGGACTGGGTCATTTCTAAGTGAGGTTCTCTTCCTCTGTGGTCAGCTTCTGCTTCATTTTCTACTGTGTTACATCAACTTCATGAAACCCCACACTTTTTGCAAGATGTGCAGTTTTGCTTGTCAGTTCATTTGCTTCATATTTGCATGGTTAAACTCTGATGGCATCTAATGGAGGCAGATTTGGGTGGGGGTATGTGTTGTGGGAGAGGAAACTACTATGAATGTTGCAAGCCTGGTCTTTGCTTTCTGTATACCTTGGGCCTGGGAAAGACAGATATTGAGTACTCAGAGGACAGGGACTCCCCATTCTAAAGCTGAGAAAATGCTCCTGGGTTGGGGGGGGGTTTGCTTTTGGCTCAGACTTATCCAAAGTCCCCTGGCTGGTAAGGACAGGAATGGGCCAAGAGCCCCTGGTTCTTTCCCAGAGCTTCTGGAGGCAGCAGGAGGGCTGCAGAAGGTTGAGGAGGCTTAGTCAGCGGTGAACCTAAGCTCCAGTTAGGAAGTCGCAGTTGGGCCCTCTCTCTTAAGAAAGGGAGTCGTCCCAGGAATGTCCCTTGCAGCAGGTGGGGAGATCCCACCAGTCATGGGACCAAGATGGATACAGACCAGAGGCTTGGCAGTTCATAGGAATTATCTCAGTTTTCAGCCACCTCACCAGCTTATAGTGAGGACAGTGAGAATCAGAAGTCAAATGACAGGCCCAGGGTCACAAAGCCAGAAGGTCTGAGAGCCCAGATCTGACTCAGTGTTACCACTGTCACCACTGTTCCTGAACCCACACGCCCAGACAGCCCACTGGTGTCAGCCTCCCGGCGGCCCTCTGAAGTTGTTCCTTCCCCAGCTCAGCCCACTGGGGTTTTCGATGGAGGACTGGATTGGTATTTTCCACATTCCAACAGTTCTCTCTTGTACCCCTGCTGCCACTTTTCCCATCAACACCTGGCACGTTTCCTGTGCATCCTTTTCATGTTGTAGGATGTATGGGTATTTTAGGGTAAGTAGGAAATCGGCATTGATTTTCACAAATAGAAGAAAATAGAAAAAGTAAATCCTATGTAAACAAAACACCACTGAGAACCAGCTAGAAACTTGCTCTTTGTTGAATAGGGACATGATTGTACACCTTTCACAAGAGCCAAAAGGTAAAAGCCACCCGAGTGTCTGTTATGGGACAAATGGATAAATGATATTGGTCTATCTATACACTCAAAGGAATATTATTCAGCCTTAAAAAGGAAGGAAAGGCTGATCCATGCGAAGTGAAATAAGCCAGTCACAGAAGGACAAATATTGGATGATTCCACTTCAAATTCACAGAGACAGAATAGAATGGTGGCTGCCAGGGGCTGCTGGGAGGGGGTGGAGGGAGGGAAGTTGCTACTTAATGGGGACAGAGTTTCTGCTTGGGAAGATGGAAAAGTTCTGGAGGTGGATGGTGGTGATGCCTGCATGGCAACGTGAATGTACTTAAGGCCACTGAACTGTACGCTTAAAAAATGGTTAAAATGGTAAATTTTAAGTGTATTTTGCCACAATGAAAATATAATTAAAAATCAGTTACCTAGTTTTCTTCGTCCAATAAAAGGTTGAAGAATGAAAAAATAAGGACACAGGGCAGTGGGAGAGAGGAGTTAGAGAAAATTTAGCTCTAAATGGAGGCTTCTCCTGAATGCAACCAGGACTGAAAAACACTGAGAAGTAAATGAGTTTTGGGGGCACCGGGGTGGCTCAGTCAGTTAAGCGTCTGCCATCGGCTCAGGCCATGATCCCGGGGTCCTGGGATTGAGCCCCGCATCGGGCTCCCTGCTCCGCGGGAAGCCTGCTTCTCCCTCTCCCACTCCCCCTGCTTGTGTTCCCTCTCTCCTGTGTCTGTCAAATAAATAAATAAAATCTTTAAAAAAACATGAGTTTTTCATCGTGCGACTCAGTTTATGGCATGTCCTGTTAGGGGTCCTCCTTACTGTCCTCTCGCAGATCACAGGGTGAATAGCCCCTATGGAGAGGGACATCCCTGGGGATGGTGTGCAGCTCTCCCAGAGTGGGGGGTGGAAGGTGGCCTGCTGCCCTCCTCCCTGCCTGGGGGTGCTGAAAAAGGGACTGGCATGTTCCTAAAGCTGAAGCATCTGGAATGTTTTATAGGGGAGTTGGAGACAGCAGCCTTCTCAGGGGACCCAGGACCGGTGGCACATGTGTGTGTCACAGCTGGGACAGAGCAGGGAGGTGGGTGTGACTATGGCAAGCTCGTCTGGAACTGGGTCGATGCAGAAGCTGGATGGGGCTAGACCATGAAGTCAATGAAGGAATAGGGAGCTACTGGTGGCTTTTGAGCTGGGGAGTGTCTTGGCTGTGACGTCCAGGGTCTGGAGAGCAGGGTGAGGTAGAACCAGCACTCCACCAGGGGCAAGATATAGAGAGGACAGCACAGATCCCGGGGTGGAAAATAGAGGGGCATCAGGGTGAGCGGGTCCTCCTTCTGGACCCTGAAAGCAGCTGCCTGGGTTCACAAACAGCATGAGGAAGAAGACTACTGATGTTCTAACTGCAGAGGTGGCTAGGAGACCTCAGAAGGAAGGGCTTGGAGGTCATGGTCTGGGTCATGGCCACAGAAAAGCAAAGTTCAGAGAAAGGCAAGGGCTTGCCCAAGTCATCCAGCAGGAGTGTGGCGGAGGGGTCGGGTCACAGGTGCCTAGGTGTCCCTGCACGGACATTATGTTACCGCTGCAGTGGCGGGCCTGGAGGCGTGGGTCTGTGCTCCCCCCAAATCTCGCTGCCCTCTGAGGCACAGCTCTCTTCCCCTTCCCACAGAGGCCTGAGGGAGCTACCACCTGTGGGTTGTGCGTGGGTCGGCACTGGAAGCGCCTTGGGGTGGGGGAGAGGGGAGAGAGAGACGCTGTGGGGACCTGCCTGCTTTCTCCGCTTTGCTGCATCCCCATCTCACCCCAGGGGTAGGAAAGTACATTACTGACTTGGACTTTTCCCAGGGAGTTTGGCTGAGCGCGAGAGAGCACCCTGCCTCCCGCCAATGCAGAGACACTCCCCCTTCCTCTCAGAGTTGTGCAGGGGAAGTAGCTGCAGCGGGAGAGGCCGACCAGCCCTCCAGCCGCAGCCCGGCCACATCTCCTGAGCTCTCTGTTCCCAGCGAGGCCTTTCCGCAGCTGTGGAACACACTTCTGGGGACTTTGCAGTGTTACCTCTCGGAAGCGCCGCGCTACCCCGTGGGGTGGGGCTGTCTTAGCTCCGTTTTAGAGGGGAAACTGAGGTTCAGAGAGTTTCAGTCACTTACCCAAAGCCCCCCAGCCAGTAAATGGCAGGTCTGGTATTTGAGGCCAGGCAGTCGGACCTGGCCCTTTGCCTGAGGTCATGGTCATCTCAGGCTCACTGATTGTTAGGTCAGGCGGGGCGCCGGCTCTTTTGTCTGGAGGTGGGGAAACTGAGGCCGAAGAGGCGCAGAGCGGAGGTGGGTCTTGAAACCTTGCCCGGAGCCACAAGCACCAGCCCTCCCTCCTCTCCCCACTGACACCAAGTACCTCTTGAAGGTGCGGCCACCCCCAGGAAGTGCTGCACCAGATGCGGGGTGAGAGTGAGGGGTGCCTTGCCCAGCTACCAGTTCAGAGGAAGCAAAAAGGCTGCTGATGGGGGAAAGAAGAAGTGAAGTGAGAGCCTGGTGTGGTGCGCAGGCCCGGAATGAAGTGAGCAGGGGAGGGCTGAGGGCGCACACACATCCAACTTCCCCTTCTCTCTGTGGACAGGACGGTGGTAGCAGCCCAGCAGCTGGACGGCAGCAACCCCACAGGTCAGCCCCCACCGTGCGGCTCTATTCCCTGCTCCCCCAGCTCTCTGTCTTCATCTGCCGGGTCCCCAGCAGGCACCGGGCGTGTCGCTGCCCTGGCGGGCCCAGGACTGGTGACATCCTGGGGGCAGCCAGCTGGGGACCCACCCTCATTCCCTTCACTCTCTGGTGGCAACTCCCAAATCTCTGGGAATGTAGAAGTCTGTCTATCTAGCTATCTATTTTTTTTTTAAGATTTTATTTATTGATTTGAGAGAGAGAACCTGAGCAGAGGGGAGGGGCAGAGGGAGAGGGAGAAGCAGACTCCCCACTGAGCAGGACCCTGGGGTCATGACCCAAGCTGAAGGCAGATGCTTAACCTACTGAGCCACCCAGGCAAAGAGCAATTTAAATTAAATTTAAATTTAACCCAGGGAGTGGTTAGACCCTGGGTTCAAAACCTAGCTCCCCACCGTGGCCTAGGGCAGGTTATTAAGACTTTTCTGGATTTCAGTTTCCTCATCGGTAAAATGGGGTTAACTTGGTGACCTGTGCCTTGGATGACAAGGGTCTGCACGAAGTTTCTACTGGGCAAATGTGAGCAGGGGCCATTCCTCTCCGAGTGACCGGGACTGGAGCCTGGGGACAGTATGTCTCAGGGAAATGGCTCTGGTGCTGGCTAGGTCGCAGACTCTGTGTTGGGCCTGGCATGGCCTCCCTTTCCCTGCCTGTAAAATGGGGCTAAGAATGGTACTTGTCAGTGATTTTCTGCAGAGACCACCGGTTCACTCCTCACCCAGGCCGGGGTGAGGCCAGCGGTGGGAGCTCCGGCCCGTGTCTAGCAGGAGTTGTTGTTTGGGAGGGGCAGAGGGGCCATGTACAGGGGTGTGACTGGCTCAGCAGGCCTGGTGCTGTCGGAGACAGGGTGGGCTGGGGGGGGGGGGGGGTCATGCATGGTCAGCCCCAGGGAGGAAGGCAGGGGGTCCCAAGTCTTATGCTCAGATATATCCCTGGCTGGGGCTTTGGGTTGGAACCCTAAGCTTGCAGCGGGGATTGTGGAAATGTCTCTGAGTCTCTCTCCCTGGGAAATAGGTCTCCTTGGCCTCATTTTATGGACGAGAAACCCTGAAGCATGGAGAAGTGGACTTATTGCCCAATGTCACAGCCCAGGGACTGAATACTGGAGATGGTTATCAAATTTGCATCTTCCAAAGGCTCTGGCCTGCACTCTGCATGTTTCCTCATCTCTCTAGATAGAGTCTTACTCATCCGTAGAGCAACTCAGCCACCCAACCATCTTGGGGAGGCTGCAGTGCACAGCGTGGGGAGAGCACTTGACTTGGAGCCTGGAGCTCTTGGTTTGAGTTCCAGCTTGACCACTGGCCTGCCGTAACCCCAGGCAAACCCCTGTGCGGTTTCCAGTTTCCCCACGATCAACTGGAACCATTTTGGACATCAGGTAAGGGAGTTCTGTTTCCTGGGGAGCCCCAGATAATGAGTTGCAGAGTGGACGGTGAGAGGGCAAGGGTGTGGGGTGACAATGCATGGTGGCCTCTCTGAAGGGCTGGGGAGAGGGATGCTGGAAGTCTCAAGCAGAAGTGAGGATTGTGGTTTGTCCCTGGGAAACGGAGTGGAAACCACAGCTATTTGGGGGTACTTGAAGGAGGTGTCACTTCTTCTTTGGCCTTGATTTCTCCAGCTGGTTGTGGGGTTAGGCCCCTCTTCCCTCTGTAGACACAGAGCAGGGTGGCCAAGGGCCTGGGGTCCAGCCCTTACAGTCCAGACCCTGAAGGTCAAATCCACATTATGATCTGGGCCTCAGTTTCCCCATTCACACAGAGAGAGGATGGACAAGATGACCCAAGATCCAGTCTGCCCTATTGCGCCTTCAATCTTCTCATCTGAAACATTTCAAATTGTTTCATCCAGTGCTTCCCTTGTCTCCTCAAATCTTTTCCCTCCTCTCTTCTCTGCGGTTCTGAGAATTGCCCAAGGTAACACAGCCAAATAAATAACAAAGTGACCAAATGAATAAGAACCCAGCACTCTATGTCTCCAACCAAAGTCTCTATTCTCTCTCTTTTTAAAGATTTATTTATTTCAGGGGCACCTGGGTGGCTCAGTCGTTAAGCGTCTGCCTTTGGCTTGGGTCATGATCCCAGGGTCCTGGGATCGAGCCCTGCTTCGGGCTCCCTGTTCTGCGGGAAGCCTGCTTCTCTCTCTCCCACTCCCCCTGCTTGTGTTCCCTCTCTCGCTGTCTCTCTCTCTGTCAAATAAATAAATAAAATCTTAAAAAAAAGATTTATTTATTTGAGAGAGAGAGGGGGTGGCGCGGGTTAGGGGCAGCGAGACAGAGGGAGAGAGAGATTCTCAAGCAGACTCCCCACTGAGCATGTAGCCCGACCAGGGCTCAATCCCACGACCCTGAGATCGTGACCTGAGCAGAAACCAAGAGTCAGATGATTAACTGACTGAGTCACCCAGGAGCCCTTCTATTCTCTTTTCAAAGAAACACAGATATTAATAAATAATGTTAAGATAAATGGATGGGACCACCCAGGAAAAAACACTGCATCCCCATCTCATACTGTATTCCAGGATCGACGCAAATGGACTAGGGTTCCAATGTGAACAATGAAACCTCAAAAGTCCTAGGAGAAACTTAGGAGAATTCCTTTGTTATTGGAGCGGGGTAGGCCCTTCTAGCTATGACTCAAAATCCAGAAGCCAAAAGAGAAAAGTACAGGTGATTCTGATTACACAAAAATTATACACATAGAAAAGGACTTCTACATGACAAAAGGACCATATGTAATGTTCAAAGGCAAATGATAAACTAGGAAACATGTTTGCAACTCACAGACAACGAGCTAATTTCCCTACTATGTAAAGAGTTTTGAGAAGATGGTAAGGAAGAGTCGAAGATAAAATAAAAATGGGCAGATGGTGAACTTGCGCATGTGCGAAATGTCAGGGCAGGTGCACTGTTGGAAGGAAGCAAAGACGGGGACCCACACACCCAGCTGTTCTGAGGGCACCTGCTGCATAAGTTAGTGCTTATCCCTCCAACGTTAGACTATGTAGTTGGAGAAGAGAAAGTGAAAACTCTAAGTACTGTTATGGAAAGCTCTCCAAGATGTATTTTCAAGCGAAAAAAGTGAGGTGCAGAATAGTAGTGAGTGTGCTACCTTTTTTTTCCATATAGGATGAGGAGAATCATATATGCTTATGTTTATTTGAAACTTGGGCAGATTCACCAAACACTAATAGCAGTAGTCATCTGAGGGTGACTAACTGGGAAGGGAGTAGTTGGGTGACACAGGAGGAAGGAATACTTTGCATTTCATGCCTTTGTGGACTTACTTATTGTTTGGATTTGAAAGATGTAAATTTCTAAACTATCTGAAAAGCAGGGGCGCCTGGGTGGCTCAGTCGGTCAAGCATCTGATTCTTGATCCGCAGCTCAGGTCTTGATCTCAGGCTTGTGAGTTCAAGCCCTGCGTTGGGCTCCACGCTGGGTGTGGAGCCTCTTTAAAAAACAAACAACAACTATCTGAAGGACAAATAAAAATTGAGAAACGTGTAACTATAATGTACGGGGTAACATTAGGAAATCTGGGAACCCAAAACAGGTAGACTCCAAACGTCATCACCCACAGGTGACGCCTGCATCTTTCGGAGCTTGCATATATAAGAAATGTGACTTTTACAAGGATTGGATTACATTGCTTTGCAACATGTTTTTTGTTTTTCATAAACAACATGCCACCATTACTTTTTCCATAATGGTAGTCATTTGGAGCATAAAAAATTCTAAGCATTAAAGACTTATTTTTCTGTTGTGAGGGTAATACATGTTTGCTGTAGAAAATTTGAACTCTACGGAAAACCTAAAAAAGAAAGGAATCCTCTTCCCCATATAACATTATTAACATTTTGGCGACCATTCTTCTAGATACCCTCCTAGGCCTAAACATGTATATTAGCATACATTTCCATACATGTGATTACATTATGTGTGTTATGTTCAACTGGCTCTTTCTAGGCAGTGATACACGGTGCTCCTTTTTTATGTCACTATGGACATCACTATGGATCATCTCTTCTCTGGTGGGGTTTCCTATACCCTATGTTGTCTTTCATGACTTACTCCCTCATTCTCTTGGAGCGCAACCTCCAGCAGCCTTCTGATGGGGGTATATGCTTTAAAATACCTACAATGATCCTTGGTTGACTTTTAAGTCATCTTTTAAGAGTGCAGCACTAAAGCGTAACTGCTTGTCAGGGCTGATGATTGGGAAAGCTTTAACCTAAGTTTGGTCCTGGCCATTTCACTGAGGAACACCAAAATATCTGCGGCTATAGGAAACTTCTCTTGGAATGGCCAGTTCTTTAGAGAAGAATTTTCTTCTGTTTTAGAATATCATCGCCTGGCTGCTGCCGGCTTCTGGAAGCTGAGTGGAGGAGGAGGTGGGGAAGAAATATGGTTTAGTTTTTCTCTACCTGAATGGCATCCCACCCTGCCCCTCAGATTATCATGCACTGTCTCCAGGGAATGAACTTTATGTCGGGGTGGGGTTGAGGGTGGTAGGGTGGTGACAGTCGTCCTGGATACCCCAGGTGGCAGAGGAGATCCGGGCCCCCAACTGGTCACTTTAAAGACTCACAACCGGGCACCTGGGTGGCTCAGTCCTTTAAGCGTCTGACTCTTGATTTCGGCTCAGGTCATGATCTCAGGGTCGTGAGATCAAGTCCTGTGTCGGACCCTTTGCTGAGCGTGGAGACTACTTGGGAGTCTCTCTCTCCCTCTTCCTCTGCCCCTTTGCCCCCCACCCCCTGCCCGCAGCTCACGCATACTTTCTCTCTTAAAAAAAAAAAAGACTCATAAGCGTCTCTCTCCCATTTTTTTTGGTTTCACCCCTCATCCCTGCTTTCAGAGGCTCTCGATGCCTCTAGTTCTCAAGTGTTCCCAGGGTTGTGAGGCTTCTCCCTGCCCCCTCCCCTCACTCCACACCTCTCCCCACTGCAGACACTCAGGCTCAACTTTTTATGGTCTGCTTGATGTAGGACCATGTGGCCACCTGCTTTGGAGCCTCCAGAGTTTTGCTAACATTTCTTGCCTGCTGTTGTCTTCTTTCCCCTTGTTCTGTCTTCCTGGCTCTGTGCCCATTTTATTCACTCACTCTCATTTTAGTGGTGTTCCAGGGGGTTTGACATAAATTTGCTATATTTAAGCAGAAGTTTCTTAGTTTATTTTTAAAACCACAGAAAACGAAGGCTGGGCGGGACAGACCCTTGCCCAAAGTCACATGGTGGATCAATGACAGAGCTGGACAGGGTTCCATGTTGCTTGCTCCCAAGCAGCCTTCCCCTCTGGGTGAAGTCAGGGCCCCGGAGAAGCCCCCAGAGAGGCCATTTTTGGGGATGGGGAGTGACGGGCAGAGCTACTACTGACAGGCATTTCTGAACCAACAGGGCTTCTGGGGTCAGAGACCTGGCTCAGGGGGCCTCACGCAGAGCAAGACCACTTGCGCCCTGAACCTCAGTTTCCCCATCTGTGAAATGCAGGAGTAACAAGGATCAATTAAGATGCTAGATACCCTACCCTTGGGACATGCCAGGCACCTAGAAGTGAGAGGTCACTCTCTTACCACAATGACAATGACATGCATCTTTTCCAGGGTGGGAGCCAGTTCTCGGAAGAGACTGGGCACAGGACATGGATTGCTGGGGGACCTTTTTCCTCTGCCTGTGCTTCATGACTTCTCAGAGTGAGACAGTGGGTAAGAGGGTGCTGCTGAGCTGGGGGGCAATCCTAGCCCGGGCCCCTGCCTGTGACGTGGAAGGGGGATGCCTCGAACCAAGGGAGCTTGAAAAGGGGCATTGCGGCCCTCCTGGGGCAGCAGCAAGGCTGAGGCTGGGGTGGAAGGCCCAGGGACAGAGGCCGAAGTCGAGGTCTGACTTGCTCCGCACAGAGACATCCCAAGAATCCCTGCTCTGGATGGAGAAACTGGAGGTGATGGCCAGAAGCCACAACTCGACTTCTCTTGCTGAGTGAGTCAGGAGGCCCTCCTGTCCACCCAGATTCAGCTGTGCCTCCCACCCCCAGCTTGAGCCTTGAATCAGTGGTCCGGGGTTGTCCAGTGGGGACCATTAATCATTTATTCAACATGCATTTATTGAGTACCTACTGTGTGCCTGGCACTAGGCTTTGGAGATACAGGATAAACATGTCCTGCCCTCATCAAGTCTGCTCTCTGGTTGAGGGTCTTTAACTATGGATGCCATGAAACCCGGTGCAGAATCCTGGGTCTCTGCATTTTTCTGGGAAGGCGCTGCAAGACTCGAATCAGGCTCTCGAGGGTCTGTGATCTAATGGCCACACAGCTGCGGGTGAGGGGATAGTGCTGATGAGTGGCCAGGGAAGCACAGGGACTATGGGGCATTTCACGCAGCCAGCAGAGAAAAGCCAGAAAAGGCTTCCTGAAGGAGGTGTCAACAAAGCTGGACCAGAAAGAGAGGTAATCAGGAGACGTGAATGAGTGGGGTGGAGAGGTAGGGGTGTGCCAGGGGCGCTGCGTGTGCAGAGGTCCGGAGATGGGAGAGGCCGATGGGGTTGGGGGAGGCCCCGCCCTTCTAGCCGCCTGGGGTACCCCCCCTCCTGCCCCCAAGCCCACTGCGGACCCTAGTCAGCTCTCTCGCCCTCAGCCTCATCCGGGGCCTGGAGTGCAAGCTGTTGAACGCCAGCTTCAGGGGCAGCAACCTGACCTTGCAGACGCCCACCATCCAGTCACTGATCTTCAAGCTGGGCTGCAACTTCGCCGGCCTGTCGCTGAGCAGCGCCACCATGAAGCGGGTCCCCCAGGTCAGAGGTGGTTGGGGGTTGGGGGCAGCCAGTGCCTCTACCCCAGAAATCCTCCAAGGGCTTAAGGTCTGGACTCCCCTCCCCCCACCCAAACTAATCCGGTCTGGCCTCATAGCTGTGAGGTGCCTCCTCTGTAAAATGGGGCCGATGTTCCTCATGCGAATGATGGGAAAGGGGGTGCCTTGTCGCCCCTCAAGAGCGGCATCCTCTTCCTGCTTTTGCAGGTCTGTGGGGGTGGTGGGGGAGGCAGCAGTGGGAGAGGCCAGGGGATCCAGGGTCCTAGGTGGTGGCTCAGAGGAATGAAATGCCTGGGGTAAGGCCGGGCAGGCTTCACAAGAAGTTGGGAGCAGTGAAGGCACTGGGGCTGGTTCTGCAGGCCGCGGATACCAGGCTCAGCCTGTCCATGCCCCCTCCGCAGGTCTCACATGCCATGCAGTTCCCGGCCGAGCTGACCCAGGACGCCTGCAGGGACCCCCCCAGGGAGCTGCGTCTCATCTGCATCTACTTCTTCACGGACTACTTTTTCCAGGTCACTGCCTTGGTGGGCCAAGCAGGGTGGGCGCCGGCCCCTTCCTGGGGGCACTGTGGGCATCCAGGCCATCGGCTGGCCTTGGGGCAGGGACCGGCACCTGGTGGGACCAGCCCATCGTGCACCCAGCCATTGCCCCTTCTGGGCCTCAGTGGGAAGAGAGAATTGTGGGAAGGCCCACTTATAGGGAACCTACGTGTGCGCCTGTCCCTAGGTGGGAGATAGACAAAGGTGCCTTTTAACCTTGGCTTTGAGAAAGTGAGTTAGGATAGGTGGTTAGTTAGGATGGAGGCTGGAATACACTCAGCACATGGCAGAGAGGTGAGGGGGAGAGGACAGCTTTCTAGGTGGAGGGGACAGCGTATGTGAAGGCTGTGAGGCTGGCCCATGCTGAACACGTGACAGGCATGCTGCTTGCTCTCATTCGGGGGAAGGGGCTGGTGAAGGGGGGCTCTCAGCCCTCAGCCGGTCTCTCCCCGCGTCCCCTGCAGTCAGCCCTTCTTCTGCTGTCCTTCCAGAATACCAACTCATCTCTGCTCAATAACTATGTCTTGGGAGCCCAGCTGGGTCACGGACACGTGAGCAACCTCAGTGAGCCCATCAACATCAGCTTCTGGCACAACCAAAGCCTGGTACTTTTGGGAGGGCGGGTACCCCCATTTCCACCTCACCCCTGCCCCCTTGTGGCTCTCCTGTTGAATTTTGGCTTGACTAAACCCAAATCTGTGGAAGCATTCTGAAAACAAACGATTTCAAATCTATCACAGTTTGAAAATTCCTGTCAAAGAAATCAGAGAGAAGGTTTTACTTACTGCAGTAGGCAGGATTTTTTTTTTTTTTTTCTTTAGGTAGGTGCCATACCCAGCGTGGAGCCCAGTGCCGGGCTTGGGCTCAGGACCCTGAGATCAAGACCTGAGCTGAGATCAAGAGTGGGAAGCTTAACCAAATGAGGCACCCAGGCGCCCCCTAGGCAGGACTCTTTGAGTTGCAAATGATACAAAGCCAAGTCAAGCCAGCTTAAGCACAAAAGGGAATTGATTGGCTCCCGTAAATGAAATGTCCAGAGCTGTCAAGCTTCAGGCATGGCTGGATCCAGGGGCTGATATAATGCCATCCTGGCTCAGCCTCTTTCCATCTCTCAGCAATGGTTTCCTGCCTTGGCTCTCTGCTCTAGCAAGATGGCAGCTAAAGTCCTGGACCTCCATCCCCTCTTCCCAGCAGGCTCTTCCTCATCAGTGCAAACCAGGGTCCCAGAACAGAGTCCTAAAGGTCTAGCTGGGTCATGTGTCCATCTCTGAACCAGGTTGATGGAACGTGTGGGTGGGCCAGGCCCGGGTCACATGGCTCAGGGACTGGGCTGGATTCATCTGGCCTGCCATGTGGGGAGGTGCGGGTCCTCCAGAGAAGTGCAGAAGCTGATCCTGGAGGAAGGGAGAAGGGCTGCCGGGTGGGCATGAGCTCTGATGCCTCCGCTCTTCTGGCCCTGGCATTCCTGAAAAGCCCAGAGCCTCTGTGGTCTGCCCTGACTTCCCGTCAGCCTCTTCGGGACTGCGTTGCCCTCTCAATTTCTCCATCCTCCTTTCTTTTCTTTGCTCTGGACCTTTGCCCTGCAAAGGTGCTTTCCTCGGTGGTGTTCCATGGCACTGCCTGTGTCACTCCCCCCAGCCGTCCACCCACATGGCTTGTTGGCTTCACGGTTGTCTGCATGTGAGTCTCTCCCTCACGCTGGGCATGGGTCTGCACCACTGTTGTTCCCCATGGAAGGAAGGAAAAGGGGACAGTTGGTTATAGAGCGCCTACTGTCCAGCCAGAGCTGGGCCCTCAAGATTCCTCACGGCCTGTAATTTAATACCAACCCTGAGACTTGGCTATAGATGATCCCATTTTGCAGATGAATAAACTGAAGCTCAGAGAAGCTCGACAACTTGCCCAGGTCGCTCTGAGAGTCCAGAGGAGAGGTGAGGCTGGAATCTGGGTCTGTCTGATGCCAAAGCCCAGCCAGTGTCTGGTAAAATGTTGACTAGGGTGCAGTTGAATCAACTTTGGCCCCTACAGTTTCCAGACTCTGACCCACGGCCATTCCCCACACCCCTTGGATGCACCCAACCCCAGCCTCTCCCCTTAGGAAGGCTACACGGTGACCTGTGTTTTCTGGAAGGAAGGAGCCAGCGAACATTACTGGGGGCTCTGGAGCCCCGAGGGCTGTCGCACGGAGAAGCCCTCACCTTCCCAGGTGCTCTGCCGCTGCAATCACCTCAGCTACTTTGCTGTTCTCATGGTATGTATGCATCCAGTCCGTGTAAGGGGAGTCAAAGTTATAAAGGGCCCCGTGTCTAAGGAAAAGGAGCAGGCAAAGCCTGGTGTAGGGGACAGAAAACCCAACTCAGATGGGCTTAAGGAGGCAAAAAGAGAAACTTATGAACTCATGTTGCTGAAGAAGCTATGTTAGGCTTCAAGCATGGCTTGATCCAGACGCTCAGTATCACCAAGACAGGGCTCTAGCTCTGTCTCCCAACTGTGCTTGCTTTGTGCTGGCCTAGCCTTCAGACAGAATTTCCCCACAGGATAATAATATGGCTGCTAGCAGATCCAGGCTCATGTCCTACTAGCTTTTAGGCCAGTAGAACGAGAGCTTCTTTTACCCAATTCTGCCGGCTAGTCTTGGGATTAGAGTCCCACTGCCTTGGAGGGTGTCACATTCCCATCCCTCAACCAGTCACTGGGCAGGAGTGACTTATCACAGGGCTCTGATAAGTCAGGCCTAGTGCACCTGTCCACACACAGTGGGACCGCCCATGTGCGTAGACAGTGAGGGAGGGGAGGTTCTCATAGAGAAAGGGGAGATGGAGTTGAGGGGGGCAAAATCCATTGTGTCTGCCAGGGTTTTTTTGTTTTTGTTTTGTCTCACCACAAACAAGGAGGTTTGTGGTGAGACAGGGGAGTTTGGAGCTGAGGTCTTAGCAGGTCCCTGTCACCGTGGGGAGGGCATTTCTGTGCTTCTGTCTCCCGTTCCCCCTCGTTCCTGCAGCAACTGTCCCCAGCCCCGGTCCCAGGAGAGCTGCTGGCGCCTCTCACGTACATCTCCCTGGTGGGCTGTAGCATCTCCGTCACGGCCTCGCTTCTCAGTATCCTGCTGCACTGCCAAGCCAGGTACGCCCCTGCTCCCATGCCGGGCCTGCCCACCCACTGCTGTTCAGCACCCCTCCTTCTTACCTAACTGATCCCCCAGAGGGGGGTGGGCTTCTCACGGTGATGGAGGCTGGGAGGCAGGAGACCAGCCTTGCCGTGTGGCTGTTGTTCTGTTCCTGCCCCCCTCAACCTCAGTGGTGTGTCATGAGCCCCGGGGGGTGGCATGGCCTGGGTGATGTCCCCAGGCCACGGAAGGCCCTGCTTCCACCCGCAGGAAGCAGGGTGACTCCATAACACGCATCCACATGAACCTGCATGCCTCCGTGCTGCTCCTGAATGTCGCCTTCCTGCTGAGTCCTGCGCTGGCCATGCCCCCCGTGTCTGGGGCAGCGTGCACAGCGCTGGCCGCCATCCTGCACTTTGCCCTGCTCAGCTGCCTCACCTGGATGGCCATCGAAGGCTTCAACCTCTACCTCCTCCTTGGGCGCGTCTACAACATCTACATCCGCCGATACTTGCTCAAGCTCTGTGCGGTGGGCTGGGGTAAGCAGAGCCTCCCTCCCCTCTTGCTTCCTGAGGCTTCCGGCCAGATAGGGCGTCTACCCCCTCCTGCCCTTCTCTTCTCCTCTGCCTCATCATGGTGACCACATCATGAGCACGGTTCATCATCCCTGTCAACACTCACCACTACTTTCTACTCTACTGTTCTTATCGATTTTACCTCCAACACCTCCATTGCCACCTCCACCTCCAACACCTCCACGACCATCACCTCCAACACCTCCATCCCCTCCACCTCCAACACCTCCATCCCCTCCACCTCCAACACCTCCATCCCCTCCACCTCCAACACCTCCATCCCCTCCACCTCCGACACCTCCACGACCATCACCTCCAACAC